GGATATGGGGTGCACAATAAACTAGCCACTTCGGTGGCAAAATCTAAAATCTAATCTAATCTTTTACAGCACGCATGGCTTATGGAGGAAAGATTCTTATTCCACTTCCCCATGGATATAAAAGGAAAAGTACTAAGAACAAGAATTATTAAGATAAAATCAAAGAAAACTCAGAATAGTCTGTATAAATAAATGTGCACATGTATGTATAGTTGTAGGTAGTAGGTTGGTAGACAGCAACCACCCAGGGAGGTACTACCGTCCTGCCAAGTGAGTGTAAAACGAAAGTCTGTAATTGTTTTACATGATGGTAGGATTGCTGGTGTCCATTTTTGTCTCATAAACATGCAAGGTTTCAGGTACGTCTTGCTACTTCTACTTGCACTTGGGTCACACTACACATACTTTTAAAAGCATATATAAACACACCCCTCGGGGGTTTTTTCTTTTTTTTCCTTACTAGTTCTTGTTCTTTTTTTTTTCCTTTTACCTCCAGGGGGAAGTAAAACCCAAAAATTTTTTCCTCCAAAGCCATGCGTGTTGTAAGAGGGGGACAAAAAAGGGCCGGGAGCAAGGGGCTAGAAACCCCCTTCTCCTGATAATTACAAATGAAAAAGGAAAAAACCTTTCATTTTTCCTTTTTGGGCCACCCCGCCTCGGTGGGAAAAGCAACCGCCCAGGGAGGTGCCCCCGCCCCTTTGGAAAGTGGTTGGTAGACAGCAACCGCCCGGAGGTACCCCCGCCCTGGGGTAGTAGGTTGGTAGACAGAAACCCGCCCAGGGAGGGCTACCGCCCCCTGTTTTTGTGGGTTGGGTGGACCCCCAGCCCCCCAAAGGGAGGTGCAAACCGTCCTGTGGTTTGGGGGGTTTTTGGTAGACAAAACCCCCCAAGGGGGGTTTACTACCGTCCTGGGTAGTGGGTTTGGTGGGGAAACAGCAACCGCCCAGGGGGGGACTTCCGTCCTGTGGTAGTGGGTTTGGAAAGGACAGAAACCCCCCCAAGGGAGGTCCTACCGTCCTGGGGTTGTGGGTTTGGTTTTAGACAGCAACCGCCCGGGGGAGGTACTCCCCCGTCCTGTGGTGTAGGTTGGTAGACAGAAATCCCCCAGGGAGGTACTACCTTTCCTGGGGGTAGTGGGGTTGGGGTAAAACAGAAACCGCCCAGGGGGGGAAACTCCCCTCCTGGGGTTTAGGGGGTTGGGGTAGACAGCAACCCCCCAGGGGGGGTTTCTACCGTCCTGTGGTAGTAGGTTGGTAGACAGAAAAACCCCCCCAGGGGGGTTATTTTCCCGGGCCTGCCCCAAGGGGAGTGAACACAAAAAGCCTGAAAATTTTTTTTACATGATGGAAAGGATTGCGGGTTTGGTCCTTTTTTCTGTTTTAAAGGAACATCCCCAAATTTTTTTCGGGTACGTTTTGCAAACTTTTTCTTACACTTAGGTCACACTACCATCCCATGTACAAGCGATATAACAACACCCTCGGGGTTTTTTTCTATTTTCCCTTTCTAGTTCTTTTTTCTTGTTTTTTTTCCCTTATCTCCATGGGGAAAGTG